CATGCATTTTATGGTGGCACCTACTGGCAAAGTGCAGAAATGCAGCCAGCTTCCCTAAGATGGCCTCATGAAAAGCTGGCAGAGGATACTAAGTGGCAGTTTGGATTTTTCCATTTTTCCCCTTCTTTCCTACCTACCTATTGTCCTTCTTCCTTAGACCCAAAGGTTATTATAACGCCTCCTTTATAAGAGAAGCATAAACTTCTCCTCAGATGCAAGAAGACAGATATCTTTATGTCTTAAGTTGTAAGGTAGCGAGAGAAACAAAGGATGAAGTAACAGGAGTGGAAGGCAGGAGTTAGATTATACACAACTGTGCACATCAGCCAAGACTCCTGAGACTTTATCCTGTAGCAAGTGTGGAATCCCTGAAGGTCTGCGTCACGGTACACCAAAAGCCATTGCAGGAAGATCACACAGGCTTCAGTGAGCTAACAGGATACAGCAATTCAGGATTAGGACAGAATGAACAACTCAGGGGAAAAAGCCCAGTAAAACAGGGTAAGGACAGATACGGACAGCAAACACTGGAAATAAGGCAGTAGTTACAGGAACACAGACAAGAGAAGATGGGAAAATGTTTAAGAAAAAACAGTAAGCTGAGGCAGCGGCAGAGGGAAAGGACTTACAGAGGTGTGAGACGTGGGTAACTGGAGGGGGAAAGGGTGAATCCACCCAGGGGGCAAGCAGTTTTTCAGAGGAAGACGACAATTAATCTTTGGTGCAAGTTACATTGGCGCTACTCTGAGGCACCATCTAGGAGATGCCTGAAGACATGTCTTGGAAACTCACTCGGCACTGAAGTTGGGTTTCACCACGTAACAGATTAGTAAGAATTTCCACATATGAAGTTGGAGAGGTAGAAAATGAGAGAATGACATCACAGAAGCTATGAGGAGAAGTTCTAAGAAGTGATTAAATACGAGGAGTCAAAGCACTCCAGATGGTAATAAATGCAAGATCACAGAGGACCACTGACAGAAGAGCGGGGAACGAGAATAGTGTGAACTGCTCAAGAGTGAACAAGCACATCACACTGGATCAGAGACTGCTGTGGCGAGCACATTAGTGAAGACAGGAGCTCTTACAACAGTTACTGTTTAGGGAGAAATGTGCATCAACACTGCAAAGACGGAGAGAAAAAGAACACTGATTTCTCATGAATCTGAGCAAAAGGATGGAGAACTGGACAGAAAACAGGTTGCTGGGATTTTCTTACTGTCTTTATAGACTATGGCTAAAGTGCAAGTCAAGAAAAAGTACAAATGAAAGAGAAAAGGCATAGCCAATGGAGCGTAGGTCCAGTAGGTGATCTACACCCCCACATCTGGCGCACGGCAAGGTTGTTACCCGCTAGATGAAGCTCAATTGTAACATTTTGTTAGGCCTGCTTTCCTGACACCCTTATCACAAGCTCCCACAAGCCAGGTCAACCAGGCCCTCCCTGTACCTCTTCCAGCTAATATTGCATACATAGGGTATGTTGTTAGTTTTTATAGTTTCACTATTTTAAATTACAAAATTAACATATACTTACTGTTTAAAAAGAAGAAGACAAAATTGTTTAACTGGACTATTTAGAATCCCACTTGAAGATTCTATTTAGATACCAACTTCCTTAGTGTCTTCCTCAGAAGATGGAGTAAGTATTCATTATGATCAAACTGAAGATGTCACATAAATGGCTGCTAAGTTGAAGAAATATATTCTCTTATCCTGAGTGTCTATAAAATAAATGCATCTCTAACCATTTAGTCTATTTTCCCAACCATATAGTCCATTAAAATTTTAACAGATTCATTGGACTGAATGTATGCATTTATTTTAGCTTTCTCCCCAAACCTTACTGAAGTCAAAAAACAGTAAACCAGATTTTTTAACCCCTACAGGAAAATAAAACAAAAGACAATACGGTAATAGCACAGACATTCCATCAAAGCATGGAAAGACAGATAGCAGACAGATGAGCACTAACTACCCAGAACAAAGACAGATAAACGTAAGTCACTGCTCAGAGAGAATGAAGGAGCACTTGGAAGACCCTCAGAAACAGAAGACCCCATAGGAGGGCCTGATTTCAACCAAGGATGTTGAAAATTTGACATGTGCACATGAAAGACACACACCCCGAGCTCCCCTCTCATTCTCAGCAGTCAAGCCAGTGTGCCTCTTCCACCATGGCACGGAAGGCGGGATCACTCAAGAGGACCCAGACCCAGGGGCAGCGAGGACTGAAAATAAAGGCAATAAAATGGTACACAATGAACTGTGAGCTCAGTGTCAACAAGCACATCACACGGCCAGAATTTCGGCTTTCAGAGACCAAGGCATAGATCTGTGGATAATTTTGGAAAGACGCAAAGAAATGATGTACAGTTATCTGACTTCTGCAGAGCTAAGTCCCTCACAAAAGGGCCAACTGACCACCACGCTATAATTAAGTCCACTACACAAAACTGCTGATTGGCTTTACAGGGCCTCACTTTTAAACAGGAAAAGAAGGGTTGGAATCACCATATCCTCTAAGAATACTGGCCAAAAAAGAAACTCTAACCAAAAACTCCTAGAAAGCAGATAAAAATGTTAAATTCTTTTCTTCTTGCTTTTTTTCCCCACCTTGAAGGAAGGTCACACTGGAACCCTGGCTTGCCTTGAACTCCAGGCAACTTTCTTGTCTCACCTCCCAGGTGCTTCAAACAGGTATGAGTGATCATGCCCAACTAAAGTTAGATATGACTAATAATCTTAGAAAGATAAAATACAATAAGGCCTAGAAAGTCCAATGTGAGAATAAAGGTGTTTGCTCCTGCTTGCTTTTATTTATCCTATTTATCCTATTCTTGTATCTTTATTATTGGGGGGGGCGGGACACGCATGGCACTCATGTGGCAGACGGAGGACAACTTCCAGGAGCTGACTCTCTCCTCACAGAATCCAATGTAGTCACCGGGTTTGCACAACGAGTGCCGTTACCTGCTGAGCCATCTCCCTGTCCATGTGTTTGCTTTTCAGAAGAAAGCCTCTGAGCGAAGAAGAGCTTAGCAGTGGAAAGTAAAGCCATGAGGTTCAGGGAGCAGGGCAGAGGCAAGGAAAACTCACAAGGTGCTGATGAAGACTCCAGTCAGCACTCTGGGGCAGACTCGCAAGCAAAGGTAGGGGGAAGTGATGACGGAGACTGTGCAGAAGGAAAGTCTCCAAGGCAAAGGGTGACTAAGGAAATGGACCAATATCAACGCAGAATTTGTCAAGCTTCATAACTAACTGATGAATAAAAATAGGAAGCAAATGACAAGAAAAAGTAGATGTTTTGAATGTGAAATCTCTCTCTTAAACTCATATTTGAACACCTGGTTCCTACCTGGTAGAGCTATTTGGGAAGGTTGCCAAACCTTTCTGAGGAAGTGGTTCACTGGGGGTGGGTCTTGAGGCTTTATACTATGGCCTCACTTCCTTTGGACTCTCTCCACCTTCCTGCTCTTATGGAATAGGTGTCCACTAAGACACAATACAATTGAGAACAAAATCCTTAAAGATACGGACTTTAGGGCTGACAAGACAGGCTCGGCGGGCAAAGGTGCTTACTGCCAGACTTGACAACCCAAGTTCAACCCTTGGGATCCACACGGTAGAGAACCAACTCTTGGAAGTTGTCCCCGACCTCTATTCCCATGTCATGGTACACATGTGCCCCACCCCATCCACACAAGCACACATATACATTATGTAAAAAAAAGAAAACAAATATGGAATTTGAATCTTGGAAAGAAGTTCCTCAGAATGAGATAAAAGAATATCTGCTGTGGAATATTACTTTAACTATGTAAAGATATGTTGCATTTGTTTGTGCTGCATTTGTTTAGTTATGTAAAGATGTGTTGCTGTTTCACCTTGCCTGCCTAAGGCACCTGATTGGGCTAATAAAAAGCTGAATGGCCAATAGCTAGGCAGGAAAGGGTTAGGCAGGGCTAGTGGGCAGAGGGAATAAGTAGGAGAAGGAATCTAAGAGGCAGAGAGAGAGAGAGAGAGAGAGAGAGAGAGAGAGAGATGCCTAGAGCTAGCCAGCCAGGCAGCTGCCAGACAGAGACAGAGAAGGACATATAGAATGAAAGAAAGGTAAAAAATCCCCAAGGCAAAATGTAGATGAAGAGAAACAGGTTAATTTAAGTTATAAGAGCTGGTGGGACAAGCATAAGATAAGGCCGAACATTCATAACTGATAATAAATCTCCGTGTCTTGATTTGGGAGCTGGCAGGCAGTTCAAGAAAGCCTGCTACAAATGTCTACTGCAGACTGAACTAATTCAAGTCCAAGCTCTGCTACAAAATGACAGTGTAAGCCAGGGTAAATGCTTCAGTCTCTTCATTTCTAAACCGAGAATAGTAATGTTATCTACCATGTGAGGCTTTTATTATTATAAACCAAACATCTAACACATCTATACCATTAATGAAAGTCTATCAGATTTAAAAAGAATGTTTATCTCTAATATAGAAAACAAATCCTAGATAAACCAAAGATTTGTAGATGTAAGAAAATAAAAAAATAGCAAAAACCAAATATGAAATTCATTATCTTTTCAATTGTCCTCCTCATTCTTAGTATTGGTTTCCTTTATTGATAAGTAAAACACTTTAAAAAATTACTTGATTTCCAGTTCTGAAAAATCTGTCTCTTCAATATAAAGATAAATAACAACCATCTTCACTAAACAAATTTAATTTAAACACAACATTTTGTTTCCACACACACACACATACACACACACACACACACACACACACACACACACACACACACACACACACAAGTATCATAGCAAGGCAGAAATGTAGAGAGGAAGGTTATGTAGTTATGATTTATCCATTTTGATATTTTATTTCCTTATCTATGCTTTGCTCTGATACTTGGGGACTTCAATATTACCTTCATTCCTACCTCTGATTCTGTAAACTTTTAAAGACAGACTGACAACAAACATTTATAATTTATAAATTATTACCTTGGATTGGGTATCTCTCCAAGAATTTCATCTAACTTGTCAATGAAATTGATAAAATCAGACAGCCCTTTTACATGTGCCCGCAAAGGATCTGATGGTGATGGTGCATATCCTTTCCCTCCAAGCTCTAATGTTCTAATAAATGATGTGGCCATCTGTGAATGAAAAAGAATGACTTAGCAATCTTTAGTGATTGTGAAGGCTAAACTACAATATGCTTAATAAAGCTGAGTACGTTTGTGTAATCCCCGGCATACAATTACATTGAAGAATATTTTATGTATCATGTCACATTTTGAGGAGCAGATAATCACAGGAGTAAGTGCCATGTGGATTTTGTGCTACGTAGGCAGGATGAAACCAGCAGCAATTAGCTGCAGGTGAAGACTGAGATGCTCAGTCAGATGACAGAGCAAAGATGAAAGAATATAGTCACATTCTTAAGGGCATTGACTATACAGACTTAGTTTATGAATATAGTTTCATTTATACAGATAAATGGCTACTGAAATCATTACATAGAACAAATCCATTTTCAGTGTCAACTACTCTGTCTTATATGGGTCCAAATTTTTATTTTACCTTCGCTATAAAAAAAAGATTTGTACTAGATAATCACTAAATTCCAGCAAATTTTCACATTTCAGGATAAGCAGTTGAAAGACCTGTCTTTACACTGATAAAAATACATATTTGATAACTATACCCAAGAACATCTCCATCAAAAAGGTAACATGTTCTAAAAACAGTATCTTCCAAATTATCCTGAGAAAGTCACATTATGGAATATCAGTGACTTGTGGTCAAACAGCCTGAGGAGGAACAACAGACGAAGTAACAAGGTTGACTGTCTGTCTACAAGGCAGGAGAAAGTTCTCCATGGCAACAGACGAAGTAACCAGGCTGACTGTCTGTCTACAAGGCAGGAGAAAGTTCTCCATGGCAACAGACGAAGTAACAAGGTTGACTGTCTGTCTACAAGGCAGGAGAAAGTTCTTCATGGCAACAGACGAAGTAACCAGGCCGACTGTCTGTCTACAAGGCAGGAGAAAGTTCTTCATGGAAGGACTTCTCACAGCTCTTGAGATGCAGACACGCATTGTGTAAACTAGCAGCATATATACCATGTCCGTAGAGTGTGCCCTCAGAAACACTTATTCAAGAAGCGTTTATCAAAGCCAGGCACAGTGATACATGTTTGCAACCCTAGCACTTGTGAAACAGAGGCAAGACAACCAAGAATCTGTGGGCAACTTGGGCCACATAGCAAAGCACCACAAAGGAAAGAAAGAAAAGAAGGAAGGAGAAAAGAACAGGACAGGAGAGGGAAAGTGTACATTTATTTATTAGTGCTAACAGTCTATAGAACATATTTATGTAGGAAATACCGCTTTATAGAAATCCTCCCTTGCTGAACTTGGAAGTCACAGGAAAAAATAAAAAGCAATGGGTTTTCAAATACAGAGATAAAACATACATTAACTACTTAAAAATTGTTTCATTATAATGACAAGAAATCTACATTAAAGTTCACTGCTTAGGGAGTCTTGAAGTGTAAGAATCCTGAAATGTAAGAATCCTGAAAATGTAAGCACCCATACCAAAAACATAGACAGTTGTTTCTCTCGAGCAGCATGCTTCAAGGTGGTGAAGGCCTCTCTCCCCAGTCCTCGATCAGGGACGTTGAGAACATGAGCCAGAGCCAGGTCATTCTTGGAATTCACTAGCAGACCCAAATAGGAAAAGAAGATTTTCCTTGCCAATAGCCGTACCTGCACAGTAAAGGATTCATTATTTTCTTTATTTCAGTTGTTCTAGACCTCTTTTCTATATACAGGAAGAATACATAGAATCATGTAATAATGATACTGCATCCCATTCTTTAGGCAAAAAGAACGGCCAAACCAACTGGGAACAAGTTGGATAACCAACATATTCTTTCTTATGAAAATGAACTTAATAACAAGAAAATACTAACTATGGTGATTACTGGAAAATTGCTCTTACAGAATGACATAAAAGATACAGTTCATAGAGGCCTTTCTGCTGAGGTTCCATCTTATTCCTCTGCATAAGCCTGCCAGGAAATAGCAGCCGATGTCGCAGTTTCCAGAACCTTAGAGTGAGAGTGGTCCAGCCACCGGACCCAAATCTACATCCCATTGCATCACCAGACACAGAGCTAAAATTAAATGCTTAAGTCTTTGAGTACTAGATACTGACTAGTACTAAATCAAATAACTAAAGATCAAAATGAATAAAATAAAACAAATGTTTAGAAAACAATGACACTTAGTGAGTGTTGACATTAACTGACCTTTGGTAGCATTAACAGATTTACTAGGAAAAATGTAAGCCTTATAAAACCATACTAACTGTATGAGAAAACTCTTAAGAATTACTACACAGTTACAGTAACCGAGAGAGAGAAGTATGTGCAGAAAGACAGATGCACAGCTCAGTGGAATCTGAAAAGAGCCCAGAAGCAGACAGACAAAGACACCACAACGAAAGTACAAACCAGGAAGTGCCATCACTGGGGTGGGACAACACACCTCCAACAGTCATATGAAAACAAATGAACCCCAACCAAAGCTCACACCTCTTATGAAAAGTAACTCAGAATGGCCCATAGACTTAAATGTACAATAAATATAGTTGGACAACTTTTGGAACTAAACGCAGAAGAAAATCCTTAAATCCCAGACCTAGGCAGAGAACTTAGAGTTGACACCAAAAGCACATTCAAGGGCAAAAAGAAAGAAACAAAAAGAAAAGAACAATTAGATCTCAGCAAAATGGAACTTTTATGGGCTCTCCTCAAGTCCCTTTCCTTTCAACTATGACCATCACTACAGCTCTGGAATTGTTTGTTTCTAGTTCTCGCTCTCATATCATACACTTGAGATCTTTCGCCCAGATAACAGATTTACAGATGCTGAGCTCAAATCATGGTCAAAAAAGAAATTCATAAATGCTCCAATAACACCAGAAATCTGAAGCCCCAGTAATGTATCATCTCCAAACTCTAAGAAGGTCATTTCTTTAAATTTTCTTAGCCCAGTATAAGAAGTGGAATACCTCCCTATGTTGGCCAAGGAGACTCACAACACCCCCAAAACAATACAGGCTACCAACACAGCTTCTGGTTGCCTATCAGAACTAGATCATCTGCTGAAGACACAAAAGTTTGGTTGCAGGACATGGAGTAATCAAATTGGAACTGGACTACTTGCTAGGTTTCATAGTTCCAGAAGGTGCTGTGCAGACTACTAGCAGGGAAAGGTTGTCAATGGTCTTACCTAGCTAGCAGTGTACATGCCACAACACTGGCATGCTAGGCAAGCTGTGCCCAGAGGTACAACAGTGGTGTGAACGTTATGGGTGCAACCGGACACTTTCTGACTGGTTTTGTGACTCAGATTACAGAAGGGAATTCATGCCTGGCACTATAAACTGTTCAAAAGCCTGTGACTGAAGTTGACAGGGCCAAGAGAGGTGGGAGAGAACTATTCATGTTGTTTTACTAAATGCATATGGTGTCATGTTGCCAAACTACCCTCTAAATATTTATGTTTGTATGCATAAACTAGTGCTGCCCTCAGCCCAAGTCAGAGAGTCTCTGCAAGGAGCAACAGTTAATGAAGAGGCTCACAGCTGGTCAAAGTACTGAGTTTATTTAGGTGAGTGCTCTGGCCTAAATGAGACATCTGTATCAGCCACCACCCCAGTTCTTCCCAGGGCTCAGGGAACATCCAAGGAAAAGGGTATATATAGAAAGACTGTACGAGTCTGAGAAGAGGGCAAGAATGTAAAACTGTCTTCTCAAACAAGGTATGGCTGCTACACACACACGAACCAACAGGGGTTGTGAGTATCTCCACCAAACCTGCACCATACAACATTCCAGTATCATGAAGGAGGAACACACAGGATTCCCACCCCTAGCTGAGGAACTATGGGCAGTTCATTGCTGCTGGGTCAGATGAGCTGTTTTCCTACAGGATAGTCCATGGTAAATAACCACATACCCATTACCAGGCAGGCAACCATAATTCATCTCAGTGGGTTATTTTTAAATGCATGAAATTAGGAGGCGGGTGTTGAGAAGAAGATTCTAGATGGAGTTGGAGAAGGTTAAGAGAGGAGAGTAGGAATGGAATGAATATTCTTAAAATGCATCATATGCATATGTAGTGGTTTGAATGAAAATCCATTCCCCCCCACACCCTGCCCCAGGTTCATATATTTGAAAGCTTGGTCCCCAGTTGGTGGAAATGTTTTGGAAGGATATGTAGGTTTTTCCTGGTTTTACGGAGCTCTGTAGGTGGTACCCTGCAGCTTCAAGTACCTGCCAGCTGGGGAGGAAGCTGAGGGTAGCAGCCACCCAGGCCTTTGGAATTTGCCCCACGCTGGGCATCAGATATTGGTGAAATTATTAAGGCCACTCCATGTAGTTAAAATGGAGGTTTATTTTGTGGGGTAACTCACAAATGAAGGGATAGGTAACAGGGTCTGGGAAAGGTGTAGCGCAGTCCGGCGGTATTCTCTGGAGAACTCTGCTCAGTCTACCTCCAGCGTCCAGGGTCCAGGAAACAAGAGAGCTGGCACATCCAGATCTCAGATCTCAGGTCTTCAGGGTACTCTCTCGGCCCCACCTTGTAGGCGTGACAGTTACTGAAGCCTCAATGGGTTTGGAACTTCCAGATCAAAGCTGGAATATCTACCCACTACAAGCCTATATTTTAAAAGACAATTTAAAGACAAGCCTTTGGATTATTTAAATGTGCAAAAGAACTTGAGCCCCTAAAAGGCTACTGATGCCTTAGCAGATGGTCCTACACCCATGCTCATATAGGCAGCACTGTGTGGACTCAGTGGGCTTAAATATACATATTTTAAATATATATATGTACATATATATATAAAACATATAAAGTTGGAAAGGAAAAGTAGGGATGGGGAAATAGGGGAGGAATTTGATGAGAAGGGATAGTAGATTTGATCAAAGCATATTATACATATATATATATATATATATATATATATATATATATATACATATTTTTTTCAAAGTCAAACTTTAAGCTTCCACACCTACAACTTGCTCTTTAAGACTTGCAAATTCCATTTCTCTGATCTGTGCCGCTGGGTAAACACTGGGAAAGTATCTTGGAGTCCTCACAGATGAAGGGCTTCTTTAAACTCTGGCTGCAGCTGGACCTGTGCCCTCTCATTATGGTCAGATAACATGGCAGTTATGGTTTCTGTGCTCTTGTATGTGCAAGTTAGTTTTTAAAGCATCCCTGAAAAAGCAGTCCATAAATACAGTTATGACATCCAGAAGCAAGAACGTAAATTGAAAAAATCCACAAGGCTAAAGCTTTAGCAAGGCACCAAAAGGGAGAGTACAATTCTATTTGCTTAATACACCAACTCTATCCATATCACAAAATACTTGCAGTTTCTGGGAGCTAAACAACTTTATTTATCTTCTTGACTGCTTCCCGCTTATTTCACTTTCCTTTAATTTTTACTGAGATGCAAATATCCAACCTTAATTTGAAGTCAGGAATTTAGATGAAAAAAAAATTTTTCCTTGTTAAAAACTTTCCTTGCTAACACATAAATGTTTGTATATGACAAATGATTGAACTAGAACTGATATACTGATATAATTTTTTTCTTGCTTAATGCCCTGACAAGAGAATATTGTATATTGTATACTACCTCAGAATTTCTAAAGCAACAGTTTAACACTTTAGGGGAAAATAAAATAAGAAAATAGAGTATTTTTTAAACTCATCTTACAGTTCCATGAGAAGATTTTGGTGTGCCATTAGTAAATGTATTTGATAATCAGAATATACCTCTGCAAGACTGCATCCCCAAAAGTCACTTTGGAATTTAAGTAAGCTGATTTCTAAAAACGCCTTTAAGTCAGGCACAAGCCTAAAAGGGTCCTTAGAACGGAGACAAAGTACCCAAACTGAAGAGAGGGAGGGAGATGTCTGCAGGGACGGGAACAGCGCTGCAGAACACGGGCACACTAAAACAGAGAAGGCACAGTCAGCTGAGGGTTCTGGAGGCGCCCAGTGAAGTGTGTGCACTTGGGTAACTCTACTTTGGGTGGCTGAACAGTATGAAAGGGTATTTTTTACGTCGTTTTATAAAAAGCAGTCTGTTTCACTGTTTCCTCAAGTTCTGTTTTAAGCTATGTGCTAGCACAACTTCGCTGTTGTGGCAGAGGGAACATGCGTTCCTCAGAGAATGTTTCCAAAGCTGACTGATGTGAGGAAGAGCATCCCCTTCCTGCTAGTGCTGAGACTTCTCTTGATGCTCACTTGGCACAAATTCCTTGTGATGTGAGCATATTCACTTTTATGTCTTCATCCCCCTCCTCCCATCAACAAAGAGCTCCCTTAAAAGCAGAGGTCCCTTAAGGCCTGACTCCCTAAAACTAGCTTTGGTAATGTCAGAGATGGTGTTCCTCCTCAGGACAGTGGGTCCTTCCCCACACTATCGTCTGCAGACTGGTTGTTCTGCCGTTTTCATACACTTCCTGAAAGTCAGGGTCAGTCTGAAAAGCTGGTAAGCTTAATGTGCAAAACTTGGCCCTCACTCAGCTGCCTGTTCAGGGTGTTAAATGAAGCCTTCATCGGACTTTACAGAAGCTCTCTGTCGTTTTCACACATGAAGAAGGTTGAAAGTGGCATGCTGTTAATGACTGCCTATGTTTTGCCTGAAATAGCATGATTATAGAAAGCATATTTAATAAGTGAAATATAGCCCAGGGCCAGGTAGAGGCTAAGCACATGTTCTACCACTTAGCTATACCTCAAGGTACTCTCAGTGTTTTTAAAATAAAGAAACCATATGGAAATAGTGAAATCCCGTCACTTTCTGAATAGTATAATCCTTGTGACAGCTAGTCTTTTGGGATACTGGTGTATATCTTTAAGTCAAAACAATAAAGCTTACATTTTTTTCACATACAAGACATTCCTCTTTTTTGAAAGACCACAACAGCAATTACTGTGTCCTCCTTACAGAGTACTTAGGAGAGAACAGAGACACTGGGCTACTGAGGTAGGTGTAGTGCTCACCATCAAGCCTGAAGACCTGAGTGTGATCCCCAGATCACACAGGCTGGGGGGAAGGGAGCCAACTCCTACAAGCTGTCCTCTGACACCCACAGGCATGTGTGGTGCATGCATGCATACACACACACACACACACACACACACACACACACACACACAGTTTTTAAGAGAAATATCAGAGGCAAGATCTGTAAGACAATACTCTGTTCTGATTTGACATTTAGGAATATACTCATTAAGTAAGAAAATTTTGATTAGTATTTTATAAAGACTTAAGACAAGAATAAAAAACAAAGAGAAAGCAAGTAAAAAAATTAATTTTAAGCAAGAGAAAATAGTGATAAAAATCACTAAAAAGAACCTGGTATTCTGGACAGGAATATTCATGGTAGGCCTGGGATTTTCTTATACCAGAAACAAGAAAATACTCAAAAATCTTACAGGGTATATGGAAAAAAAAAAAGACACAGAAGCTAACTTAATGAGGCTCCCTCAATTTTAGCATTAAAGTACAGCAAATTTTAAAGCACTGAATAAACAAACAAAGACAAATAGAACAATTATGTATCTAGTTTACCTCTAATGTAGCTCCATCACATCAACTCCTAAGTTGATAGAGGAGTTTAAGCAATGACCTTCCCAATTTTAGAGAACTGTCTTTATCCCATTAGACAAGGTGAAGCTTGGGGTGACTGAAGGTGATTAATGAAGACATTGCAAATAAGAAACTCAGGGTGCTACAAGTGCTGGGCGAAAAATAAACAACTGAGTCAGGCAAGAATCATCACTGCATGCATTAAAAACCCACTGGGTGAAGGGTTGCTGGGAAACAGGACTGCTAAGGTAAAGACAGAGGACCTTCTCACAGGTCTTTGGTGATGACTGCAAAGTGGAAACTAACTTTTATACTAGAAATCGGCCAGTTCAGTACAACCTGAACTTCTGTTTCCTAATAAAATATTAACACTAAATCTTAACTTACAGCCTTTATTAGAGATACAACAAATAAGGGACAAGGTAAAGAAGAACAGCAGAGTATTAAGGAGACAAAGGAAAAAGGGAAATTAGGGAGTCCTTCAAGACTAAAAGAGTCAACAGAGACAACAACTATTTTAGGAGCACATGGAGAAATTAGACATTGGCTTATCCTTCCTTCATTTTCAGGAAATGCATGCTGAAGAATTTCGGGCATACATATGGCACAGGATTTTGGTAACCCTTAAATAAGACAGAAAAAAGGGAAACACAGGGGGAAAAAAAGTACATTATTAAATCCAGGAAGTGAGTAAGCATTTAGTTGGAAACAGCGATAGAGTCTGTTCCTTAAGGTTCAAGTTGCTTAACACCAAACTTCAGAAGAGTCTCTCTCCTGAAAAACTGAGAGGAATTCATGAAATGTGTTAACTTTTTTGGAGTAGATGGCCATGAAAGTGGGATTTCAAAAATACATTCAATAAAATTTTACTGACTTTGCCAGCGTTCTTAAGCTCTCATCAATGGTGATTCAATTAAACATGGAAACCTTTATAAACACAGCTCATGGTTAGTTGAGGCAACAGGTGCCTAACGTAATATTCAGCTAAAGGTAAACCTCACTAGGACCAACCAGCAACCATACTAATTTTAAGTAGTATGTACAATATACTCTGCCATAAGAACATTATCCATTATGGAACACATCCTCTCAAGAATCAATCATCTAAAACAGCAGATGTGAATTTTACTTAATAGAAGGTTTTAAAAAAAAAAGATCTGACAAGCTGAAACTTAACTACATCTCTGGACTGTGGATTGTGCCTGTTTGCTCAGGGCAGTTGGTTACCGTGGCTCAAACCATGAAGATGTGGATTAAGATGACACTCTTACCAATCCCAATGTAGTATCCTTTACAAATTCAGCTTTATTTAAACAACTTTAAAACTTGGAGAAAAGAAAAAAAAAAGTGATAACTGCAATGAACCGACAGATTCATGACCTGAGTGGTCACACCTGCTTTAAGTGGCTGACAGGGTTACAGTACCTGTTCACCATCCTGGCTACATTTCACTGGGGATGCTGGTACGTGAGAATTAGTTTCATCATTGACTGCACACCGTGTGCCAGACAGAAAATCCCGCAGTTGACTCTGTAAACAATACACAGTACAATAAAGGTATAGGAAACAGACTATTATGTTATATAAAATTCTGCATGTTGTCACAGATGCTCCAGTACCAAGGATTGCTTGACATCTGTGGACAAATATAAATGAACATAACATTTCCTTCTACACAATTCTGCATATTCTCACAAATCCTTTGAAATTGAATGATAAACAATTTCCATGGTTGGGAAGGGACATTCTAGTTCATCTTTTGCTAAATAACAAACATATCTAAGTTATAATTCAGTAATAAATTATAACTAAGGAATTTTATAATATTTAAGAGTCCAGGAATTTTATCAGGTCATATCTATGTATCTTTTCTCATCAGTATAGCCTAGAACTTAAACACTAATTATCAGTACACTTTCTCTTCAGCTAACAGTTCTATTTATTATGACAAATATACTATTATTTAGTTATACCCTCAGGTGTTCTCCCTCCTGGGACTACTACTATCTTCATGTTAAGATCTATAACTCTACCTCTAAGCTCTTTCAATTTGGTGTTTGTTAGGATACTAATTTTTGTGTCAATATGCCTTTTGTGTGGGGAAATCTTCATATTTTTCTCTAAGTTGTCATGAAAACAGCTTATTTTTCATAAAAATTGGGAATTACTTGGAAGTATTTGCCTTTATATCATTACATAGTAAGTTTTTGTGTTTCTTTATATTTTCCTGTTTTATTTGAAAAGTTAACAGACTTGTATCATTTTTATAGCTGGTAATTTTATAACCTCTTAGTAATTATGAAAAAATGAGCCAGCTGAACAGTCGGTTTACACAGGAGGAAGTTCGTAAAAGTTACCAACGCTGGAACATCGTACACTATAGTCGGTTCCTACCACCCAGACTGGAGCAGAGGAACTGCAGGTGTCAGCCTGCACCTCATCCAGTCGTGGTAGATTTCCTGAGTTCCTGCAGGTTGGTAACCCTTCAAAAAACGCCTCTCCTTCTGACACAAACTGGAGGAAATACTTTCCCCCCAACCTGAAGTTTCAAAATCAACATCACCTGCCTGTTAGCACCTCCTAGACCTTACACGCCCTTGGCATCTAGTGCAGGCTGTGAACAAGTCAGTTTTCGGTTTCTCTCGGGAACTATGTTTTCTGAGTCTACTCAAGCAACAGGCTTTTGCCTGCATCTCGAGGAAGAGCCAGCGCTGCCGCCCCTGCACCTGAAGAAGGGGTGGATAAAGCCGGGGAGAAAGGATGGGGCTGGCAGGTTTGGGTGCGTGCGGTTTTACAATAAAGGAGCAAGCGCTTCTGGATAAAGTGAGTGGTACAAACATTTATAAGAGTAATGCCAGTTTTACATTTAGTGATCATGTGTCCAAAATACACAAATGTCTGTGCCCTGTGTGGGCCTGGGAGAAGGGCTCTGGCTGGTCTTCTGCGGTAAACTGACGCTCCTGGCTCGATGGTTTCTTATCCTCGGTTTCTATAGTGAGGTGGTGCTGCGCAGCTTCCTCGAGGTTCTGAAGCAGGCCAATTTCCCACTGCCTCACCCGCTCCATGGCAGCTGCCAGCTTCGTGGGGTCTCGCCTCCCCCTGCGGGTTTTGTGGAAAACCTTGGGCAACGTTGAGTTTTGAGACCCGCCTGCAAGAGACTCTGGCTTCTGCTGAGGATGTTGGGCCAATGAGGCTAACGTGGAGGGATCTTCCGCAGGTGCTGAGAGATCCTGGCAGGGACTTAACTGTCCACGGGGCCGCTTGGAAGCCCTGGAAATCGGCTTCCTTTTCCTAGAGGCTGCCGTGGCGTTGACCTCTGCCGTGTGGATGGGGATGTCCTGGGAAAGGTCTGAAGGCACCAGGCGTCCACCTTCCACACTCTGCTCACAAAGGTTCAGGGCATCTCCTGCAGGTCTCCGGCTACAGCTAAGTGTAGTAGCTTCCTCGGGAGTCCGGTGCTGTCTGAGTCTTTTCGAGCGCGGCCTCATCAGGAACTCTCTCTCCCACCTGCAGCCAGTGCAGAAAAGTGCACCCCGGTGTCCTCCCTGCAGCCTGGACAGTTGGAGCACGTGCTTGTGCTGGCCCCAGCTGACACCCTAGCATCAGTGCGTCACTCCCATGGTGCCCCAGCTGACACCCTAGCATCAGTGCGTCACTCCCATGGTGCCCCCAGCAAGCGTGGCTTCTTTGTCAGGTAAGACCTAGCAAGGCTTGAGTTCATGTGTCGTCCTTGGATTTATGTGTCATACTTGAATAGTTCTGTGTATTTAAGGCGTCGTTCCTCCCTCCAACTGCTCTCTTTTGTTGTGAATGCATTACCACTCCACTCATCCTTCTCTGGTTGATGGGAATCCTTGACTGGGTTGCTGCTTCTCTTGATTGGCTCCTTCAGGCTCTCTGACATGACATTTCTACAAGTAATGAAAGGTGCCATGGTCTCTGTGCTCCTCTGAGCAGCCGAGCAGCCGGAGAAGAAAATACCAAAGAGGCTGTCAGTCACCTGCTGAGGAAGTCTGTGTTCTCCCAAGCCTTACCAACAGGGGATAATAGAACTACTTCTCAGCTAGAGAGACAGAGAACCCTGCCTGTCCACAGGAAATATCTGTTGATCTTGCCCAGAGGGTTCACAGATCTCTGTGCCTAAGCTCTTCTGAGATCTACACTTCTGCTGGCCACAGCTCTCTGATACTGTGGTCCACATACTTTAAGTTCATGTGAAAACAAATCTGTCCCAAATCTCTCTCCCTGATATTCCAGTTAAAATCCAAAGCCTTATATGCTCCTAGATGGAGAATTATACACTAGGGAGTAAAGGTTCGAGTTACCACTTCTCCAGAACTACCACATCTTTGTTTATCTTAATTCCCAGTAATACCTGCATTATTTAAACTACAACAAATAAGAATCAAAGCAACCTTATTAAGGCCATGAAGACTCAAGAGCATGAAAACCAGAACTATTTGGAATATTCTGATATGTAACTTTAAAGACACAGTCCAAACTAATTAGGAGTACATTTAAGACACTTTTGAAAAAAATCAATCCAAGATACGTTTTGCTGTACAATTTTGTTGCTGGTGGAAATTCCCTTGGAGAAAACAAGTATCAGAGACTGAGTTGTTAGAATTCCAGAGTCTTCTTCATGAACTACCATCTTGGCAGCTTTGGTTTAATTTTTGGTGTTCTGCAGAGACACATTAACATTTGCAGACAATCCTCCACATAGCTAGCCTGAAGAGCAACCTTTACATGTCTCATTCGCTCAGTGAGGAAATGTGTTAGAGAACCTAAGATGGTGGAAGCACGGGATGAAAACAACGTGCCCAAGATTTCAGGCATGCTATCTTTCTCACTTCTACAACTCAGTGCTTACATACGATCAGCTGTATACATCAACTATGTGAGAGGACTAGTCAAAACTCAGCCCTATAAGCAAGAACATGTAAAAAAAAATCATCTTCCAAGGTGTTGCACGTGGCCACAAAAGAACACATGTGCGGATGTGCTTGAAGAAGTTACCGTAGGGCAAAGGTCTGCAGGATGCACCAATGGAGAAAAGACGACAAGCCGCCCAATATCCGTTACACTGACAGAATGTCTGCTGTCCCCTGCTACACTGCTACTGTGAACAAAGACCATACTCTTCACGCGCCCTCAACCAAGCTTTAAGCAATTCGACTGAAGCAAAAGAGCTGTTCCTTAAAAGCAGAGTGCCATTCCCCAGTCCTACTGCCTCCCTCCTGCAGAGAGCATTGCTCTAATGCTGGACCGTCAACAGCTGCCTTTGGCCATTTTATAGGGGGGTAAAGTAAACCTCTCCTTTCTCCACACATTTTATACTAGAGATTTCTATTACAATGAACTTAAATACTATTCCTAATTATCATATGAAAAGAGCTTAGTATCTCACAAAATGCAGTAAATAATCCTCCTAAGTCCAGCTATAGTTATTCAGCCATTATCAGCATTTACTTATTACTTTATTGGCACACAGAAAATATTAAAGTATTTCCAACACTCAAAAAATAAAACCTGCACATATACAAATAGATTCTAAAATAATTTATCAATTCTAATACAAACAAATCTAAAGGACACTATAGCTTTTAAATTTATACTCTATTAAAAATAAATATGCTTACACAATGAAGGCTATTATCTCATAGACATTATATTATTCTATTCTCTAATAGTAATATATGGCATGACTATCTAAGAAGCTATTAAATCATGTAAAAGAACTGTAACAATCATTTTATACAATACACACCAAATAAACAGATATACATTCAACAAAGAAGAAAAAAAGTTGTAAACAGGCAATCTTTGATCTCATTCAAAATAAACCTAGTATTTGGAAATTATTCTTTGTCAAATTTTTATCTATTAAGAAAAATGTTCTTATATCAAATAACAATATCATAAGCCCAACAAAATTTATCTTCTTTTAAGATTTATTTTATATGTATCAGTGCTCTATCTGCATGTACACCTTTATGCCGGAAGAGGACATCAGATCCCACTATAGATAGTTGTGAATCACCATATGGGTGCTGGGAATTGAACTCAGGACCTCTGGAAAAGCAGCCAGTACTCTTAACCACTGAGCCATCTCTTCAGCTCCCAATAAAACTTACCAAAAATATGTCTTTCAAGTAAAAACTAGCCTTTAGGTAGCTAAACTTTCCATTTTTAACATGATTGAAAAAGAAAAAAAATTAACTTATTAAATCTTTTGCTTCTACCCAGTACATTACTACTGAAAACGAAGACTATAGCCTCTGCCTTCCCCCATACTTTTAAGACTAGTAACTCTATCTATAGTTTCAAATAAAAGTAATTGACTAAACTTGAATTTGATTAAAGTAGAATTGTTTTTAAAATACTTACTGAAGATATCATGGTATTCTCACAACTAGAAGTCAAGTTGCTACATTTCTGATAAACATCAATCAGATCTAGCATATTACTATTCTTCAAGAAATCATCATATGTTTTCTTAATGTCTTCATAGTGGTCAACCACTTTTATACTTTCAGTGGGCAAGTTCAGTTTTTCATGTAAGAAGTATTTCCATGTCAGTAAGACATCGCTGAGAGAGACTGTAAATTCTCCATTGTGCTGAAAGAGATGCAAAAAAAGAAAGGATAAATGTGAGTGCTTAATATTTCAGTGTCCGTTTATCTAGTGGCTTATAATTGATATGAGAAATACAAATAGCATGCTTTTATAGCAAACATAAAGGCTGTGAAAATTAGATAAAATAGATACAAGTAGGCAAGCTTGCAGATAAAAAAATTGGTAAATGGGGTCAGGCATGTTGAAGCACACCTTTAATCTAAACACTTGGGAGGCAGACGTGGAGAATCTCTGGGTTCAAAGCTAGCCTGATCTACAGAGCAAGTTGCAGAACAGCACAGAAAAACCCTGTCTTGAAAGACAAAACAAAAATAAATAATAATAAATAGAGAAAGGAAGGAAGGAAAGAAGGAAGGAAGGAAGGAAAGAAGGAAGGAAAGAAAGAAAGATTTCATAAATGTATAATCAATGTTTCCTCTCTCAAATTCCACTGTATCTTTTACTCAAAGCAAAAGGATGGGTGCAAAATATACTAAAATAGCTAAAGTGTTTTTAATCTCTTTATATTCCCAATGCCATGATGAATTCCTATATATATATAAAACAAAATATATTCCAAGTACCGGCTTTAAAATTCAGTCATAGTGTTCAGGTCATTATTATTATGACTTATTTCTATTTTGTTACTATTACAGAGAAAGAAAAGTATCAGTGCAAAACTCGGGGCCTGGAAAGATTTTTGTTTCTTCCCTGGTCCTAAATACACTAAATTATAGTAACTAAGTACTAAAAATCAAGTTATGCTTATTTCTGTGAGTACTCATATGACATTAATCAGGCAAATTTATTCTTTTATTTTTTGGCTTCGGTTTGTTGTTGTTGTTGTTGATTTTTCTGGAAGAAACCGAAAGATTGTGATTTAACTACACTAGTATGTAGTTGATAAGAGACCTAATACCATTACCAACAGGTTGCAGGTCAATATTTATCTAAGTATAAGAGCTTTCCTTAAAGTATTTCCCTGGGTAGCAACATGATAAATTTTCAGCAGACATGCTTGCTTTTTATTCAATGAATCTTTCTCCCACATAGTATGCAAGATATTAATAATGGTGACTTCTAAAAGTCTTAAGACTTCCACACCAGCCTTAACTTATTAAAAAATTCTAAATTCTCATTTTCAATTCAGAATGAATAAAAAATATTTTTGAGTATCCACATGTGGGTCTGTGAAATGTAATATGTGCTGCTTTCCACGATTAAGTTTCTCCCAGTTTCTGCGAACACTAAGACTTTTACTGTAGCTCCTTTCCAAGAAGGATAGGTAATTAAGTAGTTAGCAACTGTTATTCTCTGGAACTAAATCTTACTTAATAAAGAATAATTCAAAGAAATCAATGTATCCAAAACATATATTATATATATATATATATATATATATATATATATATATATATTTGAATTATTAAAAATCTGTATCTTTCTTTTATGATAACCGGTCATATATGTTATTTGAGATCTAGATTTAAGACATGTTTAAAATGTCTTTTAAAACTTAACTCTTTACTTAACTATACTGAGACAATAAATTGTCCCTATTGTCTTAGGATAGAGACCTGTTATATCACAAATATTTAAGTCAACTGCAATATATGGAGCTCGCTCAATGACCCCTACCATTAACTCTCAAACTTTAAATCTATAACCCAAACATAAGCCAGATTATTTCCCAGTACCATATCAAAAATTAGGTATTTTAATATTTCCTAAGCCCTTAAAGGTTATAATCTAATACACTTTTAAGTGATATAAAACAAATTCAGTGAATTTCAACACTAAATTGATTTTTCTCAAAAATTTCCAAAATTTTTTTAGTATGACAATTTTTTATACTAGAAAAAAAAGTAAGATTTCTTCCCTAAAGCAAGCATATAACTTATTCTCCTTGGGTTGACTAGAGATAGTTAAAGTGAAATTATGCAAGTTCATGATCTCATATATTACTTGATTAAAAGTGTTTCATAATGGGATTGTAAAAAAAAAAAATTAAAACCAACTGAAAAGGCATTCCAGATTCAGTTTTCATCAGGTGCCCATTATGACAGAATACGCTATGATTCAAACCAGTGACAACTGATTGAGAGAGTAAGTGGTCAAATCAGAAAATGTTTTGCTTGCTATGAAAACATGCCAGCTGACTAATGTATGAAGCAAGGACAAATGTTCAATTCTTTAATTCTCCTATGGACATGAGTTATATTTCATAAGAACAAAATGAAAAGTGTAACAATTACACTTCTTTTTGAGAACTTCATATATCAATACTACATATACATTATTCCTGCCCCTTTTCCTGCTCCAATTTCTCTTGTGCCCCCAAATTCATCATCTTGTCTTTATTATTGTTACATGTACATACGTGCTGGCTAGTCTTATGTCAACTTGACACACAAGCTACAGTTATCTAAGGGCAACTCAGCTGAGAAAATGTCTCCATTAGATCCAGCTTAAGGGCATTTCCATAATTAGTGATTGCTGAGGGAGGGCCCAGCCAATTATGGGTGGTTCCATATCTGAGCTGCTGGTCCTGGGTTCTATAAGAAAAGTCTGAGCAACCCATGGGAAGCAAGCCAGTAAGCAGCACCCCTCCATAGCCTCGGCATCAGCTCCTGCTTCCAAGTTCCCGCCTGTTATGCCCAGATCGCGGGGACCCCCAAAAGACCACCACAGAGACCAAATCCCGCATGTAAAAGCAAAGAGCCTTTATTATCTTCGGGCTCTGAGTGTCGGACAGACAGAGAAACCTGAGCTCAGGTGGGGCAGAGTTTTTATCATAGCAGAGGTTGGGATGAGGGGATTTCCAGGGTCCAGGACCCTGATTGGCTGACAATTGTCTAGGGGTATCTGTATGACAAAAATAGGTGTGTGCTAGACTCAAGGACATCTGTCCACCTTATCTAATGGTTGGAATGTCTGGGATGTCAGATACTTCCTCATCCCTGGGTGGATCACTGGGTGGTATCAGCTTAAGGCTTTTCCTGGATCTGGGTGTTGTCTGCCAGTAAGCCTGTCACAGAAGCTGTGTCTAGGCCCCTAAGCCTGTCATGGCAGCTGTGTGGTCAAGCTGTTTTGGGGCCCTCCACACCAGCCTGTTTGAGTTCCTGTCCTGACTTCCTTCAATAATAAACAGCAATATGGAAGTATAAGCCAAATAAACTCTTTCCCCCTCAACTTGCTTTTTGATCATGGAGTTTCTTAGAGGGCCAGGCAAATATCATGACAGCCTGCCCAAATAACTCAGTTAAGAACTAGGCCTCTATCCCTGCTTCTTGGAACTGAGCAGGCAGTTTCTGAGGAAGCGCCATGAACAAAGGACAATCAATCTCCAACATCCCTGACAGCAAGGACAAGGAGGCCTGCTACATGTTATACCAGGCCTGAGCCAGCTCCCATAGTCAGCCTGAGCCACAACAGCTCAAGGTAATAGCCAAATAAGGACAAAGCCTGGGACTTGTCCTGCCCCAAAATGGAAAAGGCTGTAGCCTTAACCAGTTCCTGACTAGCCCCAGCCAATTAGAATAATTGGAATAACGTATTAATAAGATTGCTACTTGCTTAAGCCAATCATATCTGAAATTACCTAGCTACCCTAGGAACTCCTCTTGGCTGTGATTAAAAAGAGCCCACATGTCTCTCGTGAGGTCATCACCATTTTGCCTTTGTGTAAAATGGTTGGCCCAAGCATGCTGAAATCTTTCTCAAGATAATAAACACACTTGCTGATTGCATACATGGATGGTGGTCTTTTGTGAGACTTCTCCAGTACACTTACAGTTTCACCATAGCAATGGAAACCCTAAGGTAACATACATATGTATACACAACCTAATGAGTCCATTTAGCATTGTTTGAATGTACATATGTCCAGTGATAACCACTTGGTATAGGGCAAGCCATGCAGAAGCTCACCCCTGAAGAATACTGATTGTCCCTCTCTTAAAAGCCATTGACTTCGGGCTGGAGAGATGGCTCAGAGGTTAAGAGCACTGGCTGCTCTTCCAGAGGTCCTGAGTTCAATTCCTGGCAAGCACATGGTGGCTCACAACCATCTGTAATGAGATCTAGTGCCCTCTTCTGGCCTGCAGTGCAGGTATGCGTGCAGGCAGAACATTGTATATATAGTAAATAAATAAATCTTAAAAAAAAAAAAGCCATTGACTTCCAATCTAGGGAAGAGACTTTTGGAATTTCCCCAATTCACACTATGTCAGAGTTGTAATTATGCAAGTCACATTCAGGCAAGCGTACTGTTGAGATTTCTGGGTGCAGTTTACCTGTCATACCTAAAGGACACTGGGAATCACATATTTTAAGAGTACTTGCACTCAGATTATATATCAAAATTAATTTAGGATGACTCTACTTTTAAGTAAAATTTAAAGTTTTAATTAATTTGACTTCATTTGGTACCATTAGAGAAAAGAGCATTGGTTAATCAATTCTGTGAACTTGGTTATGTAAAATACCCCAACTCTGTTTCTCTGGCTATAAAATAAGATTGTACATCTATTTTTGTCTCTTTCCCCTTTCAAGGTAAAATAATTCTTGAAATGGTGGTCAGTAAATGTATAATGTTAAACATGTTTCTTACGTGTTAGGTCATCTTTGAATCTAATAGTTTATTGTGGGTACTCTAATAATTGCTTTGTACAAAGTTATTAAGTACCTTTGCTTCACGCAATGAAACATAAGTAACATGCTTTCACCTTATGTAAGGTGACAAATATCCTATTACAGAATAATTGTCAGACAGATACGAACTCTGAAGCCATTTCTAAAGAAAAGGCCCAAACAGCAACTGCTCCCCAGTGAAGTAAAAAACATTTGCCATAGCATGAAGTCAAAGGTCCCCAATGCACAGATGGAGGAGATGCAGCAGTGGGTGAAGCTTTTGCTGTGCAAGGCTGAGGACCTGAGCTGGAATACCGGCGCTGTGTAAAGCTGGGCACTTAGCCCTGTCTATCATCCCAGAATGGGAATGA